TCGTAGTAGTAGTCGTAGTAGTAATCCTAGTAGTAGTGGTCCAGTGGTCCGTAGTAGTAGCAGCAGCAGCAGAAGCAGCAGGAGAAGTGGCTGTTACTAGTAGTGGTTGTCGACGTCCTCGCCGCCAGCCGTCGCCGCCGTCTTTGGCGTAGGCGGGCTCGCGGCGGTAGTCGAAAACGACACCGACTGCGACGACGACTACGACGGTGCCGCAGAGCGAAACAGCACACGGACAAACAAAGATACACATTGAAACTATGCTGAAAGATGGACAATGCAAACCAGAATACTGACACAAGCTCTAAGTGTTTAGGTTATGTGCAGCAAACGGTAAATAACGAGTGTTCAAAAAGAATGCTATCCAGTATCCTCACCATCAATATCACCACCAACCGTCATCGTCTCCATCTACATCTGAAACTGCGTCTGCATCACCATCGACATCATCATCGTCGTCATCATCATCATCATCACCACCACAATCATCATGACGATTGTCATCCGCATCAGCAGGGCTGAGCATCATCGCCGCCATCATCGTCATCTCTATGCCATCATCGTGTGCATCAGCAGCAGGTAGTCGTGTCGGACGTGGTTGTGGCTGCATTGCTGCATGCAGTCGTGGTCCCTTGAGTGATGATGATGATGATGATGATGATAATGATGATGGTAGTAGCAGCACTAGAAGCCAGTACTTTCGTCGTTGTGAGTTTGCTGCTACGGGGAAGGCTCTCATAAAGCAGTCGAAAACCCAATTCCTTCACTCCGAAACCCCAAGCCCCACGGAGTCCCGAAACCCCGAGTCTCTAAACCCTAAACCCCGAAACCCGGAGTCCCTAAACCCTAAACCCCGAAACCCGGTGTCTCTAAACCCTAAACCCCGAAACCCCGAGTCCCTAAACCCTAAACCCCGAAACCCCGAAACCCCGAAACCCCGAAACCCCGAAACCCCGAGTCCCTAAACCCTAAACCCCGAAACCCCGAGTCCCTAGTCCCTAAACTCAAGCCAGGCCGACCAACTCCGCCGAGGCGTCCTTGGAGCTCTGCATCTCCCAGCGCAACGCCTGGGCCAGGTGCTGGCTGCTGAGGCTCTACTTGGAGGCTCATGGGACTTAGTAACTAGGGTTATAAATAAGGTAACTATACTGATAAGTAATTATAACCCCAATTAAGGTAGTTATGACCTTACTTACTAAGTCCCATGATCCTCCAAGTAGGACTTCTGGCAGTTCAGGGTTTAGGGTTTAGGCGTTTAGGGTTTAGGGGTCTAGGGGTTTAGGATTTAGGGGTTTAGGGTTTAAGGTTTAGGGCTTTAGGGTTTACAAGAAGGTTTGGGGTTTAGGGTTCAGGGTTCAAGATTTAGGGTTTGGGGCTTGGGGCTACAGGTTTAGGGTTCAGGTCTTGGGATGAAAGGTTTAGGGCTCCTAAATCAGGACTCGAACTGAAGACGATGCTTCACCAAGTTCCGAAACGGATAGAAAGTGTGGACCACATCGGTTTACCTTAAACTATCATAGCCTGCTTTTCTGCAGGATGCTACTATAAACTCTAATAAGGCCCTAATATGAAGTCTATCCTACAGAAAAGTAGTTTTTTGGTAGTACAAGGTAGGGTTTAGGTTGCAGCCCTGAAATCCCAAACACTCTGGACTCTGGACAAAGCCTGAACCTACTCTAAACTTGATCAGGAAGACCCGGTCACGACTTACAGGCAGTCGATTTCCGCAAACACCGAAGATCACACAGCACTATCAGCCCGAGAGCACTGAAATAATAAAGCCCAGAAAACCCTGAAACGTCAGCGCAGCAAACTTCTGAATCCCCAAATCCCGAAGCTCTAAAACTCCAAACCCTCCAAACCCACGAAAAAAAACCTGAAGCCTTACATAAGTCCAAGCAACGCTCTAAAACACTCACTTCCGAACCCTTGTGCAATCCTACATCTATTGTGGCTGTTGTTTGCCTTAACAAACCGTGTTCAAAAATGCATACACCCTGCCAAAAAAAAATCTCCTAGATTTGCGGCATCCTGTGGCAAAACCCGGAAACATCTCTGACGGCCTCGAGTTCGAGCGCCAGCGCTGCCTCTTATTGGTGTGACTCTACGGGCCTGTTCCGTAGGGCTCTATGAGGGATCCTATATGGGATAAGGCAGGGATGCGATAAGGCGTACTAGAAGGGATACTGTAAGGACTTTTGACAGCTTCAGGGCTAACGGGCATTTGTTGGATGTCGGATGTCTTGAAGGTTTGTCAACCCTAAACCCTAAACCCTAAACCCTAAACCCAACACTATAAACCCTATAAACCCTAAACCCTAAAAACCCTAAACCTTGTCATGGCTTTGCGGGCTTTCAGGACTCTAGACCTGGTGATTTGCAAATCCTGGGGGGGGAATTTTCTGGGTTCAGGATGAGGTTGAAAGGGCTCTGTGGTTTAGGGCTACGGTTTAGGGTTGAGGGTTTAAAGGGCTTGGGGTTTAGGGCTTAGGGTTTAGGGTTTAAAGGGTCTAGGGTTTAGGGTTTAGGGTTTAAAGGGTTTAGGGTTTAGGGTTTTGGGTTCTGGGATTTCAGGATTTGAGGGTTCCAGGCATTCTTTTGGCTTGGGAAGCAAGGTTTAGGGTTCAGGGCATTGAGCCGGGTAGCGGTCCTAATGTAGGGGCCTTAAGGATTAGAATAGGGTTATTATACTATGATAAGGATAATAAAAAAAAACAAATATGATAATCATAATAATAATAATAAGGAACCCCCCTTGTGGTTCCCGGGTTGTGGGTTGAAGGCCTTTCGGGTTGTATTTTCCCTCGGCTGACGCTTCTTCAACGGCACCCTGCTCAAACTGCGTCTCCAAAACTTGAGCGACTTCATGCGACATCTGAATCCCCTCCGAAAGTCGAAGCATTAGCCCAGATAAACTTGCAGCACCTAACAATAGTGAGAAGCCCGCAGAGGCTAAAATCCTAAAAGCCAACCAGAGAATAGCCACGAACACAGCATGGAAGGAACCTGTGAGGACAAGGAAAAAAAAACGACACACTGTTTTAGTCACTTTGGGTGCTAGCTGCGAGTACCCTTGAAACCCCAGGCCTAAACCCGAACCCTAAATTGCTGTTTGGCCTAGGGCATACAGGTAACAGGCTCGGGCCTGAGGAATAGGACCGTGGGGGGCTGGTGAATAGGAACACGAGCCAGGGCGCGAGCCTTCGCGCCGTCCTTTTCCTCTCCGTCCGCACGCAGCACCTGATCCACATCGAAGTCATCGAAGATTGTCAGACCCAATCTCGAAAGAGAGTCTTGAATAATTGCAGTAGCAATGGGTAAGCAGCAAGCAAGATCGTGATCATCACAACTCTGGCCATCAGCATGGTTACTTCTATCCTGCACGACATATGCCATTACTCCACTTCACCTTCTGTTAAGCCTGCTGCCACTGACTGCTTCTAGGCGTTCCGGGCCCATGTTTTGCGTCTGGGGTTTCAGGTTCAGACGTCTCCGAGTAATCGCGGTTCCGGAGGGTTACACATACATGCAGGCACCGAAAGATACGGAGACCCAGCACACAGGCAAAGGCTTCAATATCGGATATTAACGCCCCGCTTCGTCCCAACACCCTCAAGCCCCAAAAACGCCAGAGGCACACGTCACGACCTGCAAACCCCAACCCTTATAGTGCCCTGAAAGGAACCAACCCTAAAACCCCGCAACCCTGTATGCTTAACCCCTCATACGGGGCCTAAATAATCAGAATATGGCGTCGGGGGTATATGATAATCTTTTTGAATTAAGGAGCCTTACGGAATAATACGGGATATTGGTAATCATTCAGACCCTTGTCTTGTCCTCTCCTGCTCTCAACATTAAGACTCCTATGCAAAATACACCCTTGCGATAATCCTGCAAAAAAAAACCGACAAGCAACCCTCAAAGGGACCCTAGTCTAAGTATTAAGACCTCATACTCCAAACCCTACACCCAATACCCCAAACCCTAAACCCCAAACCATGACCCTAAACCCTAAACCGGAGCTTCGATCTTACTACCGTCCGCACACCCAAAGCCTCGAGCTCTTCTTTGAGAGCGGAGATCTCTTGGTCGCGCCTGGAAAGGCAGGTCAAAGCTTTCGGGTTTGGGGTTTAGGGGTTTAAGGTTTAGGGTTTAGAGTTTAGGGTTTAGGGTTTATGGCATATGGCGGGCCACTGACAGGACCACCAACCTTGAAGAAAAACATGGCGCACTCAGCACACGAAGACATAGAGAACCATGACCTCACACGGACTTGTGGCTTCTGGAATTCCCCTGACCGATCTTCACCTTCACCATCGCCCGGATCCATCAAACCTTCAGACCCCGAACTCCGCTTCCAGCTTTTCCACGAAATTATCTGCCCATCTGCGCCTGCAACCCTGCACTCCGTGCAAAGGCTGCTAAAACCCTTCCCTTGTCATTTGGGCTTCGCCCAAGCGACTATTCCGCTCCGCGCCTGCGACCCTGCACTCCACGCCAGGATACGCTAAGCTGCAATGCGGTGAACAGGACTTCGTCCTTCGACAAAACGACTTTACACTTGCAAACAGTTTGCCCACATAGACTTAGTCACTCCATAGTGATTGGAGTGAGAAATCTCTAACTCTACAGACGCGCGGCAGTCGTTGCCACAAGGAGTACCTTGTTGCGCGTCTACACCTTGGTTTCCTCAGCGGCCTTGATCTCTGAAGTCACCTCTTTAGGGCCATGGAACATGCCACCGTGCTCCGCCCAGTAGTAGCAAGGGCTAAGCAATGCCCAGAACATTACGTAGCCGGCATGCACTTGGAAAGGAAGCAGGGGATCATCGATGGGCCGGTAGAAGCAAAAGCCTGCAATGACAGCTCCCAAATTCCCTCCAGCCCCCACAAGGGCAGACACAACGGCCAGCTGCGGTCTGTTCATGAAAGGCACAATTCCGTAGCTGGTGCCCTCAGCCATCTG